GACCGTTGATCAATGGGGACTGTCGACAACACTATAAACAAATAAACAAAAACTAAATGCACATCATTCCAAAAGTGACCTTCAGCGTTGCTAACACGTACCTGAGACAGCAGCCATGTTTGCATTGGGGCCGTCCCCCACTCCTCCTCCCCCTCCCCCTCCTCCGAGCAGCATGGAGGACAGTGGCGGCTGCCCCCTCTTCAGTAGCACTTTATGGTCCTGCTGGCAGCGAAATCGTGGCGGCACTTCTCTCGGCATGTAGCGCGCTTGCTGCTGCTGTTGAGGCGCTGGAGCTCCGCCTCCGCTACTCGCGCTGCTGCCGTTTCCAGCAGCGCTGGGGCCGCCAGCGGTGGAGGAAGAAATGGTGTTGGAGGTGGGCTGTCCGTTGGCCACCGCAGCGCTTGGCATTGTTGCCGCCCTGTGACGGGTGGCCCTGCCAGCCCAAGGTTGGCTGGGGATGGGGAGGCAGAGGGGGCGGGTCCAGGGCTGGGGGAGGCAGAGCTGCTCTGAGTGGCAGGAGACTGGACGACCGCCGGCTTGGTCAAGTCTGGCACTGAGGGAAAGAAATGGAGGGTGTGAAATTAAGAAGCATATAACCAAAAACATCTGAAGAGAACAGAGCACGATTAATTTCCTGTTAATGTAGGCTTTGTCCATTTATTGGTATGAAAGGGAAGGAAGCAGAACATTCTTAAAATCATTCCCTGATGCAGATTATTTTATTATTATTTATTAGATGTTTTTTTCACATTACAAGAAGCTATGAAATGCTACCAAATACATATTGCACACATGTTGACAATATCTGGTTTGCTTACTGCACTGTTATATCTTATTGCATTCTATTTCAATGTAAATACTGCTTTCTTATTTTACTATATTTTTTCTTAATGTTATTATAGTGTTCTTAAAATTGTTTGATTCATTTTAAAATCTGTGTTTTAAAATGTACTTTTATGTATGCACCACAACACCAAGTCAAATTCCTCGTACGTGTCAACCTACCTGGTAATAAACCCATTTCTGATTCAAGAACAGTGCAAATGTATTTCCTATACATGTGAGCACTGTCCATATATTGGTCAGAAACAGGGAAAAGAAAGAGTCCTAAATAATTCCCTGATGCCGAGGCGAAATCGGTTTAATGACCGTTTCTCTTTCCCTTCTTTTTTTTTTCAACATACAAGAATTGCAAAAGTCAATTTCATGAGACAGAGTTACTTTGGTAAAAACAGCAAATGTGTGGCTTTTCTATCTGAACATATACACACTGTGCTGCTTACCTTTGTTTTTTTGTTCTGTGACCTAAAATGAGAAAGAAACACATTAGTTAACACGTCATTCTTGAATCAAAGTTAGGACGCCATGTAAAACACACATTTCATTCATTTAAGGCGAGACACCCCAGGTCAGTGGTTCTCAAAGTGGGGGGCGCAGAGGCATGACAGGGGGGGCGCGAGAGACCAGGGGGAAAAATGGTTATTTAAAAAAAAAAAAAGATTTAAAAAAAAAAAAAAAATCATATTTTGAAAAATTATTGATTGAAAATAATATGATACAGTACTATTACATCTGGGTCTCTGTGTTTCATTAAAGCTTGGCTCTGTGTGTGTGTGTGTGTGTGTGTGTGTGTGTGTGTGTGTGTGTGTGTGTGTGTGTGTGTGTGTGTGTGTGTGGAACGAGCCATTTTGTGTGTGTGCGCGAGCGAGAGAGAGAGAGAGAGCGCACCGGTACCAGAGATTGTTGTTGTTAGCTTCTGGTGCTAGCGAGCTACGCTAACGGATATAAGGAGTTTTTTCAACAACAAAGGCTCAGTGAGCTAAAGGACTCTCAGTGTTATCTCAGTGGGTCTCAAACGTTTTGGTCACCATTAATGTAAACAATTATTTCCGAGGCACACGTTTATATGATCATTATAGTTATAAAATAAGAGAATAAATTAAAAACAGGTATGAAATACTATATATTTAAAAAAAGAATACAGTTTAAAAGGGGAGTGATTTGTAAAATATCCATAAAGAAAAAGTAAATCTGTTTACAATTCTGTTTCAAATGGGTGTTGAGAGATGTATCCATAGATCTCTTCATTTTGCTCTCAAAGTGCACCAGATTGATGCTTTTAACTTCAATATTTAAAAATCTTCCCAGGGGAGCTTGCCCCCAGACCCCCCTATGTGAGGTCCACACACCACCTATAAAAATAGTACTTTACCCCTGCTTACACTTATATGCCGTGAGCTGATTATCGAGCCTTCATGGTAACAGTGGCGGGGTACACTGTGTATTTGCGTGGGGATTGTTGCAGTAGAACATTCCACTGTAGCGACCGGTACATTAATGGGAAACCCTAAATGTTTGAGCACCCTCTATGAAACGTCAAGCTACCCCACAGCACCCCCAAAATAAATCTCTGGCGCCGCCACTGAGCCTGACTATTTGTGTTGGGGGGGGGGCCGACTTTTTTTTTTCTCCAAAGGGGGGGCCTAACAGAAAAAGTTTGAGAACCACTGCCCCAGGTGAATAGGGTAATGTTTTTAACTTAAAGGTATCAGCTAGAAATTTCTCCAGTTAATTACTTACAATAAGGCAATTGTCTTTTGTATTACAAGTTTTCTGAAAAAGCATGTTTAAATATGCAAATGGTCCATTATATCATTAAATATGCACATATTTTAACACATTTTCAGGAATCGAAATCTGAACTTTGGAATTAGCCAGATTGCAAAAATTAATTGTTTCATTTGTAGTCATATTAGTATCTAAGGCTTTTACAGAAGGGATTTTGGATATCTCTTTTTAATCACTCCATAAATCAGAAAATACTGTCAACAGCCCTAAAATATCCATTTTCGCCATGTTTTTAGGTATACAATGTTGTATAATTCAAGGCTATGAATGATATATGAACAAACCCTTCTGTAAAAGCCTTCATAATATTGATAGGAATATAACTGGAAGGTTTGGTGTATGTACGTGCTACTGAAGTTGAAATTTCGAACTCAGAGTAGGAGAAAAAACTCATTTTGAGAAAAACGACCTTTAAAGATTGCAGTGAGGCGCTAGCTAAACCCTCCTGTTCTTTGGATGACAGCTTGCGCATTGACGCACCTCCGTGAATGGTATTTCAATGTTCAGGGTCATTTTTTTTTTTATAACACTTACTACTTCGTGCAAGTGACAATTGTTGTCGTCTTCTCTGAGACGTTTTTTTCGCCGTTCTTTTGGCATTTTGAGATTTCAATTTCTAGCTGAAAGCTAACCAGGAAGTGTTTTAGCACACCACGTGACGCATCTGAACGAATCAACGTTGTCAGAAATTGACACCAGCCAATGAATTTTGTTTCTTGGTTTAAGACCCCTTGTGCTTTTCACGATTGGTTGCTGATACAAAGGAGCTATGACCATATTTGGATCCGATGAGATTGTGCAGGAGAGACGGAGCTTTCTAACGATACCTCTGTTGACATGGTGCACACAGCGGTCGGCGGTACTTTATGTTACGATTAGTAAAGCTAACTTTTTGGTGAATTGAGGAGAGATCTACAGACGCAAATAGAACAAACTATAGTAAAATAACACTTAAATGTGTATTTTGTACGTTTTCCCTTCCAAAAGCCTGAAAGAAAACATGTTCTAGAAGCAAAATAGCACAAAATCTCAAAATTGATCAGTACTTGAAAAACGATGTTTTTTGCCTGCCGTGTCTCGCCTTAAATATCAACCTCAGTAAAACCAACCTGCTCGGAGCAAAGATTAACATACGTTTAAGACAAGAGAAGACATGGTGCTTAGAAGAATGAAACTGTTATTATGGTTTAGAAAAGAAATATTTCTAGTGCCAAGATACTAACTAAAGCATGTTGTTTTGGGACTTAGACCGTGTTCACGTAACACTGACAGACGTCATCCACATATTAAAAAGGGTAGGTGTCAGGATTGGTCTACTCCACATTATTTATTAACAGAATATTTTTTTAAACGTGCAAATGTATGTTTTTCAAAGAGGAAAGGTTCAGGTTCAAACCCACTGCAGTCAGCATGTCGTTGTGTCCCTGAGACACTTCACCCAAATTGCTCCCGTGGGGATTGCCCACAGTATTGAGTTTGTAAGTCGCTTTGGATAAAGCGTCTAACAAGAAATGATTTAGTGATTTTGTTAAGATGACAAAGCTCAACTGTTTGGCATTACATTAAACTTGTAATTGACAGCTCATATAACGTGACATTAAGAAATATGTACTCATTGTCATTTACCAACATATGATGGGATATGGATGTGAATGAAAGCATTTAAACATTCAAAACAGTGGCCCTTTCAGAAGACTGTGGAAAGTGCAAAGGGATAACTACAATCAATCTGCTCGATGCCACTAAATCAGCTTGCTGCAACAAATACATGTGTTATTAGTGGGCCTGAACGATTAATCGATTTTAAGTCGATATCGCGATTTTAAATGATGCGATTATCAAATTCGCAAAGCCTGCGATTTAAGTCATCCACACCAATCAGAAGTGCTGTGCTCCACAATGTACCAGCCATTGTTACCCAATCAGAAGTGGCCCTTGATAGAAGGGTGATAGACAGATTGATCCAATCACCTGCCAGTATTTTTGAAAATACTTTTCCAAATGGCTTCGGAGCTTTCCTAGATGGTTGGTGAAACAAACCATCTGAGTCCGGTTAGTAATGCTCCATCACATGTTTTACATCTAGCAGGTGATCACGCAGAGCTGCGTGTCGACTCGTCAGCAGCAGCTGATTTCTCTCTCCCGTCAGATTAGACTTCACTCGCGTTTATGTCCATATCGATCAGATCTAGCTATTGAAAGCGATGTCAGGCGCCCAAGCTGAGATTGTATACATTTCCGCATTTTAATATGCAATAAAAAGTATAATATATAGTATAAGAATGTGGCAATTGCCTTTATTAGATTATCATACATGTGGGGAGAAGAAAAAACGAAATTTAAAAACCAAATATCATTGGCAACTACCGGATATCGTGTACGCCCGAGCACACGTTAAGCTTTGTTTGACTAAATTAACATCCAAGAGAATTTATTTCGTAATGGGATCCCTCCATTCTATATTTTAACATGAACTAACGCTTTGAAATAGAGTTCAAGTTGGAATATATGAATACAGTAGGATCCCAACTCATCATAAAGAATAACCATTAGAAATGAGAAGAAATAGCTCTCTAATAACCAAATGTAAGGACGTTTCAAAGATATAAAAGACAGGGAGGCTGTGGCTCAGTGAATAGTGTGCTGGACTTCGAATAAGGGGGGGTAGCAAGTTCGAGTCCCACTGCAGTCAGCATGTCGTTGTGTCCCTGAGACACTTCACCCCAAATTGCTCCTGTGGGGATTGTCCACGGTACTGAATGTATGTAAGTCGCTTTGGATAAAAGCGTCTAACAAATGACATGTAATAATATGAAACTGCTGTTCAACACGACGCCGCCACATGTTTTTTTACATCTAGGAATATGGAAGTGATTTTGAACGTGCTCACCTTCTGAGAGGCTTCCCTTTTCCTTTTGTCGTCTTTTTTCCTTTTCTTGTCTTCCATGAACTACAGCTCCAGTCCTGGTACTCCTTTCTCCTGGAGGACAAAACCAATTTCAAAATGTGGTCACCATTTTAAAATCACAGAGTGCTTCTTTGTATAGCTAAAAAAACATTGAACAATAGTTAATGATGACTGCGGCAGGACTCAAGGTAAAAAGACAACATAACTGAGGCTCCAGTTGATGGAGGATTATGGCCACGTGAGCATCCGGATGGATTTGTGTAAGTGACAATGAAACGGCATGCTTGATTGGATGAATCAGCCATCAGGTGTTAGAGCTAAGGATACTGCTGGACATGTGGGCAACAAACAGTAATTATCTCTATCAAACGCATACAGGATACCGTAAGCTGATCAGACTCAATCAATTTAAACGGTTTACAAGGGGCTTGATTTAGTCAGCCAACTCAATGTTGTCAGCAGAGTGACTCCAGTGGAAACTATAACAAGTGGCTGACTGAATGTTGGACAGCCAGGTGTGGGCTTTAATTGTGTTTCAAAATGGTGTTTGAGAAAAGCTTCTTGATAAGGCTCTTTAAACAGCTGTGGAGACACAAAGGTATGCAAAACAAGATCACCAAATAAGGCCTTATCAAAAGGATATAATAACCAGGGGTGCACATAACAGGTACGCATGCGCGGCAAAAATCTGAATTGCATAACGTCACTTGTGTCACTACGCGCCTTTGCGTACCTCAAAACATCTAAACAAAACACATATTTCGTCTACACGTGTTACATTACATTGCATTTAGCTGACGCTTTTATCCAAAGCGACGTACAATAAGTGCGTTCGACCAACAAAATACAAACTTGAAGAAAACAGAATCATATAAGTACATCAGGCTTCATAGAGCAAAAACATTTCAAGTGCTACTCAACTGGCTTTAGATAAGCCAGTCCTTTATTAGTATATAAGTGCTTTGTTAATAGTTCTATCGCTCGAAGTGGAGTCAACAGTCAATGTAATGTAATGTAATGAGTAAACTACGAGACATGTAAAAAAAAAAACGAAGACATTAAGCAGCTACGTTGCTGTTTCGCTCCCTGCAAAAACTCTTCGAACTTTCTGTGACTGATTGAACTGGTGCTGGCCGAGCCGCGCATGACATAACCGACGGACCTGTGAAGCTTACAGGAGGCAGAGGCTTAGATCACCGGACGACAGAGTTGGTCGCCGTGTGCACAGACAGGGTTAACGTCGGTATGAACAACAGAATTGTGCCAAAACTCTGCCAACTGGCTGCAGTGGGAGACTCCCCTGTGCACACTCTGTGCCCCGCGCACACACTGGAGAACTGCGCAAAATCAGCTGATCACAACGTTCACGCTCTGTGGTCAAGCTGCTGCAGTTTTATTTACAACAAAGTGGAGTAAAACACACAGTTGCAAACTTACTCAGGGTGTTATGGAAGAGTTTGAAATCAGACAGAGGTGGAAGAAGTACTCAGATATTGTACTTGAGTAAAAGTAGAAGTACCAGAGTTACTCTGTTACAGTAAAAGTCCTGCATTCAAAATGTTACTCAAATAAAATTAGAAAAGTATTCTCATCAAAATATAGTTAAAGTACTAAAAGTCAAAGTAGTCGTTGTGCAGATTGGTTCATTTCAGAATAATATATCTGATATGTTTTGTAATGATTGATCATTAAAGTGTTCTCAAAGCTGGTAAAGATGCAGCTAGTTTTTCAGCTCGCTGAACTTAAGCTTATTTTAAATGTTGATAAAACCAAGGTAATGCTATTTTCAAAAGCTAAAAAGACACCAGAGCCTGTTTTGGATATTGTTACTATGCAAGGACAAGTACTTGAAGTGGTTACCTGTTATAAATACCTTGGTATCTGGCTTGATGATTGTCTTACTTTTAAACTTCATGTAAATAACCTGCTTAAAAAGCTGAGGGTTAGACTAGGTTTCTTTTTCAGAAACAAGTCCTGTTTCTCTTTTGAAGCCAGGAAAAGGCTCTGTGACCTTTTGACCTGTGCTGGACTATGGTGATCTGATCTATATGAATGCACTTGCCCATTGCCTGGAAAAAGTTAGATGCCGCCTATCACAGTGCCCTGAATGTGTTACTAACTGTAACAGCACTTACTCATCACTGTACCCTGTATGCCAAGGCAGATCTGCCTTCACTAACTGTACGGATGCTCAGTCACTGGTACATGTTCATTTACAAAGCCATGTTGGGTAAGACTACCTTTTTATATCTGCTCTCTGATCTCTCCACGAATTGAAAGTACTTATTGCCTGTAGATCTCATGATGTTGTTTTATTAAATGTGGCCAAGTGCTAGGACTGTCTTAGGAAGAAAGCTTTTAGTTGTGCAGCTCCACTAACATGGAACAGTCTGCAAACATGTTTAAAACGAGCACTTTGGTTCCCCTGCATCATTTTAAAAACTCAGCTGGTGGACATGCTGTGTTATACTCAGTTCACTGTAAATAGAGTTTGTAAACTGTACATTATGTTGTTTGTCATCCTTATTGTTGTTCTGTTGTTTTTATGTTACATGTGTAACTAATGTCCTGCAGGTCAGCCTTGAAAAGAGATCTTTTGATCTCAAGGGGCTTCACCTGGTTAAATAAAGGCTACAAAACAAACAAATAAATTAGATCAAAAGTCAAGTAAAGTACAAATATCTCAAAACTGTACTTAAGTAGAGTACTTGAAGAGAAGCGTAGTAACTTCCCACATCTGAAATCAGATATGACTTCAAGTCATGTGGATAATTTCTTAGTATTTGATCCTTCAACTTGGCGTCAGGAAATGCAAAGAACTTCACAGTTTTGGCAACAAGTTTTGTGAGAAAGCAAATTGGAGGCTTAAAAAAGAGACAGGGAGGTGCATCTTCATCATCTAGCATGCAAGAAATAGAGGACAGTGAAGGAGACACTGAGGAGGACCACGCGTCGTGTGGGGTGAGTACCAAACGGCTGTCTCCTGGTACTCATCTGAGTAACTACACTAAAAAAGTGATGTGCACCCCTGATAATACATAGGAGATGGATGACATGGACAAATATAACTAGAACCATCAATGTGGATGAATATTGTAAACTCTTGTGCTATTCTAGGGTTGGATTGACTAAGTACATGCTTATTATTATTATCAATTGAGACAGTATAAAATAATAAAACATATTTAATGATTGCCCAGTCTTTCAATAAAAGTTTAAGCTTTGGTTAGGTAACATTTGGGAAGCCAGCTAGGCTAAGCTAGATATTCAATTATTTTAAAACTGGAAACCAGCAGAAATTAAAGGCAGGCTCAATGAAAGTAACTTTCCACAAGGCGCTCAATCTAGTGAGAAACACCGACAAGACCCCCGTTCCTTGCAAAATGATCATTATGAAGGTAAAGAACCAACATTGTTTTGTTAGCTGTCAAACCAGCAGCTTATCGAGGACTCTAGTAAGGGACAATGGGCCACAGACAAACACATTATTCTTCCTTTGCTTTTTTGTCAGTGCTTTATATTATTTGTTCTGTTCTGGTCTTCAAAGGGATGTCATTTTACTGAATTGACTAGACTTGTTGCTTTGCTAGTTGGTCAATAAATCCACATTACTGGTGGGTATTAAAAAATGCTCAATGTTTTAAGATTTTGTGAAAGCATCAATGATCAACCCTACAATATCGTTATTCGTCACAATAACGAGGTATAAGGTCAAACATATCGTGAAATGTGACTTCATAACCTAGCCCTATGTGCTGCTCTAGAGATGGAAGGAACAATTAGATGCACCGAAATATTCAAATGTGGAAATAACCACAATCCCACAGTATATTTAAGCTCATATTAACAGGTTGCAAACACAGTCATGCTACGCCCTGATTGTCTGTTTTTATTTGGTTTCGTTTTTGCTTAAAGTCATAACACCGAAGCAGATTCACATACAGTAAAACTGACAGCCTTCCAGACCTCAGGCCTATAAACCACATAATTATGAGTCATGTATGTTGATGTAAACTAATCTATTTGCCTCTGAATTGTAGTAGATTAGAAGTACAAAGTAGCAAAAGGTTGTATATCAAAATGGTACCTAAGTACATTACTGAAGTAAACGTACTTTGAATTGTGCTAAACATGGAAAATCGTCAACGAAAACGAAAGAACAAAGGTGATTTAAGGTGCTGAACTGGCACCCTGTATATCCAGTTAGGCGTTTCATCAAACCACTTCTTATATATTGTATTTAGGAGTTTAAGCAGGTTTAACAGCTGCTGGTTACTCGTCGATAGCTAACATTAAGGAGTGGTTTCAGCTTAAAAAAAAATAACGCAGACACCGAAAAACCCAAATTATAATTATAAACCAGTTGTCAAGCACAGGAAGTATTGTTAATAATGTTATGCAAGTACACAGTAGTCATTAAGAGCAAATACACCGAGCATTGAGCTACAAATCGTCCTCTGCTAACCATAGTAACTGCTGCTACATCAGTGCTAATGCTAAGTTAGCTAAGTTACAGAAGCTACAAGTAGCCAGGCTAACGGTTTTAGCTCGCGCAGTAGCATCTCATTCTAATTTATCTTGCAGACGTTTTGCATGCATATGTACATATATACACACAATGGGATGTTAACAAAGCTGATAAACACTACGCATATGTCCAGTTCACGTTTACTCACCTCTGGAATCACATATGAAGAGAAGCTAACGTGCTAGTTAGCTTAGCTAAAGTGCTTCAGTACGATTTTTTCTTCCTAGCTTTTTGAGGCATTCGTCGACAAAAACAGCGACGACACAGTCAAGTAAGTGGCAGGCAGACGATGAGAAAAATACACGCGTGTTACAAGCTACAGGTTCGTAAATAAGTACTAACGTTGTAATAGTGTAAACCCTAATGTGCAGAAGAATTTAAATTTCAAAGCGCTGTGGAGTCAGTCGTTTGACGGGCGGCCATTTTGCTGCTCAGCATGAAGCGTCTCCTCCAATGGCAGCTCTGCAGAGAGAGAGAGGATGCATTCTGACCTTCATACACTCTGACTGGCAAACTAAGCTCCACATTTCGTGCATTTTAGGGTAAAAGTTATTATATTTCAAATATGCAAAAAAGAAAACGACTTATACCATACTACTATACTTGTCTTACTCAGTGCTGTAAAGTAACTAAGTACACTAACTCGTGTATTCTACTTGTACTTTTATTGAGTATTTTAATGTTTTGTTACTTTGTACTTCTACTCCACTACATTTCAGAGTTTATTTTTTTCTCCACTACATGTATTTAATACCTTTAGTTACTTTGCAGATTTGGATTAATGATGTGAGATATAATTAATAGGATTTTAGTTACACCTGGAAATAAATTCACATTGCCCACGACGTTGCTAATTAATGCAACGTATGTCAATTGTGCAAAATGTTCTTTGTGCTGGGGAACCGTACTATACAATTCTTATATACAACTCAACATTTCCCGGTCCACAATAGGACCCCATGAGCTGGCAAATAGACTAATAAAGGAAATCTGATTCTGAAAATGGGGTTGTCAGAAGAGAAGAAAAAATGAATTACTGTAGAGGGTTATTGAGGATGTTTAATCAATTTCTGACATTTATAGGATCAGAGATGGCAGTGTTAACCAGAAAGGTGCTATCAATTTACTCCCGGTGCACTGATTGATTCTGATGATTTATGGATAGATTTGAACGATTAAGGGAACTAAAAACTGCAATTTCTTATCCTAAACATTTCAGAAATTGATTGAACAAAAATGGTCAAAATCGGCCAAGAATTTTTTTTGCTATTGTTGCATTTGCTAATTTATGCCAATTTTGCAAATTACCCAACATAAGCAAGTTAGCATCCGGCAGTTTTTTTATGCTGTAGACCGAGACTATACATTTCTGACATAAAAGTCTTGGGGACTCAACATTTCCGTGTTCACACAGCTGGCAAGTAGTCTATATTAGTCCTGCAAAGGGTTACAGCAAAAAGTGGCATAGCAGGTCAAACAAAAACATGCAATAAGAAAGAATAAGCTTTCTTATTAAATGTAGAGAAGAAAAGCACACATTAGTAATAGAACAAAATAAGTCGACAACCCTGGATAAAAATGAGGAATACTAATTAATTAAACTAAGTGACATGAATAACATATTTGTTGAGACACTATACGCATTTTGGCACATTCAAGATTCAAGGCTTTATTGTTAGCTACAGTGCAATGAAAAACTTAAGTGACTGGCTCCTCCAACAGTGCAACATGAATATATATGGGACATATAACAAAAAAGACAAATAAACAGATAAAATAGTGCAAGATGTATAACAATGTGATATTGCACAGTATTGCTTTGTGTGCCATGTTGCACCCAGATGTGTTTGAACAGAGCCAGGAGCTGCTGATGAGCTGAACCGCTGGTCCTCAAACTCTACAACTTCCTCCCTGGATCCTCTCTGGGCTCCATCACCACGGAGCAGTGTGTGGAGAAAATAGCAGCAGCCATTAACCACGCCCACTGGCAAACATTACATGTCACTTGTTAGACGCTTTTATCCAAAGCGACTTACATACTCAATACTGTGGGCAATCCCCACAGGAGCAATTTGGGGTGAAGTGTCTTGCCCAGGGACACAACGACATGCTGACTGCAGTGGGGTTTGAACCTGTGACCTCCTGATCCGAATACCAACTCACAACCCACTGCACCACAGGCCTCCCTGCTGTGGTTACAGGTACAGGAGTGATGACAGTCAGTGATGCAGTAAATACCTGTCTAGTGAAGCTCATAAAATGTAGAATTGTTGAAACTGTCAGATCACTCCCAAGTTATATATGTGGTGTGTCTGGTTACATTTAAGTGGGTCTGTGTCTATGAGGGTCATTCTGCAAAAAATGTGTACTGATGCATTGTCATTTTTTTAAATAATAATACAATCTTTCTTTCAACAGATAAACAAAAAATCGAACCTAGTGGAAAACACAACCTCATTTGCGGATGTATTAAGGAATGTAGCAATTGAAAAAAAATGTTTGAAAAAAAACTCAATTACATATGCTAATCTACGGAGCCCCTAAAGGGACATGGGAAAAAGAAAAAAAAAGAGAGAGAGAAAAAAAAATAAAGTCAGGAAAACGGATTTGTTTCTCGTGCGCACGAGAAACAAATCCGTTTTCCTGACTTTATTTTTTTAGAAAGTTACCGATGCACCAAGGAGGAAGTGGAACACGAGACACCCATTCATTGCAGACTGTTATGTTTACGTGGGGAAATGACAGTGCATCCATTATTTGAGATATATTTTGAAGTCAGACTTAATTTTATGGACATTTCGGCCAGGGTTGTAGAGCTATTGGTTTAAGCACCGGATTGGCAAAACACTGGCGAGTCTGTAAACCAGTCTGCTTTGAGCTATGAATTAATGTCCGTGACTCTCAGAGTACTGTTTTATAGGGAAACATACACACACACCCACACACACACACACACACACACACACACACACACACACACACACACACACACACACACACACACACAAAAAGTCAGGATAACGAGTTAGTATCTCGTGCGCACGAGAAACGTTCTCGTGCGCACGAGAAACGTTCTCGTGCGCACGAGATACTAACTCGTTATCCTGACTTTTTTTTTTCTCTCTCTCTCTGTTTTTTTTTTTTTTTTACATGTCCCTTTAGGGGCTCCGTACTAATCACAGGAAAACGTATTGAAAAAATAACACTATAAACTACAGCCTCAGCAATATAAAGTGATTTTCAATACTTCCTTTTCAAGCAGAGAACATTATGAGCTTTACTGAAATACTCCAGAACGATACAATTAAAATCTAAGGTGACAAAAACCACAATTGGTTTGGTTAATCCTTCTTGCATGTAATTAATGAAATTAGAGTTTCATAAGAAATTTGACCTATTTACGAGGATTAATATTTGACTACCTCGAGTCAATTATCAAAAAAATGAGGAACGTCTTCATCTCATACAAAACCGTTTGACCGCAGATTGACTTGGGAGTTAATGCATAACTGTCTTTTTGCAGAAGTGACTGCAGGATGACAGAGCTGTTTTTTTTTTTAATGATTCATAGTAATGACTCACATACTTTGAATGCCGATTGAGTGACAAGAACACGCTGCAGAGGATTCCTGCAGAAACACTGAAGCAGGAGCAAACCTTACCCTCAGGCTGAATGAAAAACAGCAGCTGAACCAAACATTAGACACTTGTTGCAGCAAGTTTAAGGACATATTGGAGTTGTGTTAAAGGGGCCCTGTTATGCAAATGTCCAGGTTCATATTAGTATGTAGCTCTACTGGCATTTTTCTCATACTGCCTGACTGTGCTGCAGCACCTCTTTTCACCCTCTGTCTGAAACCAGCCTATCACGTACAATGTGTTGAAGCGCTAGCCAATAGAAGCCCGAGTGTTACCTAGTGATGTCATTATGTTCCTGAAATAAACAAAGGAGTCCAATGGAGGCGTTTCAGACAGGGGGGTTGTAAAGGCCCCTGAGATAAATGGGCTATACAATTTATTTCAATTTAAAGACAGCATGTTCAAGACCCTCCACTGTACACATTGGTCTCTCTGCCTTCAGAGATGTCGTAAAACGAGCCTCGGCTGGACAACATCCCTCTGATCCTGGAGACCCCCGGACGGTGAGATATAATTACTCTTGCCTTGTCTTATTGATATGAATAAGTTGCTGTTTTAGCATGACTTCCTTCCTCTCCCCACAGGCCAGGAATCGAGTATGCTGAGCAGATTGAACTTCTTCACTCCCTCTGTGAGAAAAAATGACAAGCATCCTCTCGGTTAAAATGTGCACTGTTAAACTGAACCCTGCACAACCACATCTAGTCAAAAGTCAAAGTCAACTTTATTGTCAATCTTTCAGTTTGTGTGTACAGACAGAGAGATCGAAAAGTGGATGAGAGGTGGTGCAAATTCTCCTTAAACTCACTCAGAATTGATTTGCTTGTTATCCATTGTGTGTTCAGTTTTTTACACGAGTTGAATAGATGTGTTGTAAGATTCTAACTAACTTGTGAAGAGTCGTCATGCTCACAAGGAGCCACTAGAGGGCAGCAACAACACACTGGATTTTAAATATCTTCATTGTAATGCAAAGTAATGCTGCCAGAGATGAGATACACATTGATAATCAATGCTTACAACTTTTTTTTCATGTGAATAATCTCAGTAAAGGCTTTTTTTCAGCCTCTCAAAATGATGGATGAGTTACTTAAAAGAGGTTGATGTTAGTGGTTTTATGTCTCAATAATTATAATCCAGAACAGATTCTGAAATGGGATATTCTGCATAACGAGTACTTTAGGTACTTTAAGTATATTTTGATGCTAATACACTTCTACTTTTTCTTGTAACAAATATACTGTATGTATTTAGATTTATGAGGACCCCCTACGGCACACACACTCTCCTCCACATGCTCCAGCTGCCCAACACTTTGGTGCAGCTGCTGACCCCCGGGACGACAAACGATCCACACACCTACTCCAAACCCCACAGTGCACATAAACATGCATGTAAACACACACACACACACACACACGCGCACACACACACACACACACACACACACACACACACACACACACACACACACCACACACACACACACACACACACACACACACACACACACACACATTCCCTAACATTTGATGTATGAAAGCTTCTATACAGTGAATGCAGCTGTTAAAAGACACAAGGAGCAAATACAGAGACGAGGTTTTGAGCTTTTGAAATGTATTTTGATTCCTAATACTTAGAATAGTTCGAAAACAACAGTATGCAAGTTTGATCCTGTTTTCTGTAGATATTTAATTTGTATGTATTTATTTTAACTGACAATGGAACCCCTTTGCCAAATAGGGAAACATTTTCTTTTAAATATATATATGTGGTGCCATTCATGCTAATGGCATACATTTTGGAAAGGGTGTAAG